GATGTTATTATAAATGTTAAAGCCGCTGCAGCGTGCCATACTGAATGGGTTTCTTTATTAACTTAACTAAAACAGAAATTGGCCTATAATAGCCCCTATTTCTATTTAAAATCATGAGTGTACCCATGAACACAATGCCAATGGCACGTTGAACTCAAAACTAGACTACTGGTCACTATGGAAACAAAACTGCCCAACTAAAATGATCGCTCATTATTCAGGCAAAAACTGTTGATATGCTAATAATATTGTGAATGAAGGGGACTACCGATCGACTCGCAGAACAGGGGAAAAGAAGCAGCCACTACATATTAGGTAAAGGAAATCGCTTATATACACTTGGCGAGTTGTTAAGTAAGTACGTCAATGCTTGTCTTAAATCGCTGCGGTTAAACTCAGTAGCTTTCATATGCATTTAAACGATTCAACTGACATACGTCAGTTGTTCATAAGAAGGAAAGTGCTATGTATCTTCCGAATGAATCTTTTCACTGTGGTTATCTCAGTTAAGACCCTCAATACTTATCCACTGGCTCAGTAGTGCCGGATTTATCCGATTGGTAAGCTATCCGAACTGACGTACTTTTGAACAACAGTGAGATCAGCATAAGACATGACGGCAGCTGGCAGTTACGACCCGGCGCGTGACAAATTAGAGGTGATTTTAGTGATTGAATTGTTTCTAGATCTGTGACTTACCCGCAGTAGTAAGTTTGAGAAAAAAAAAATCATAGGCTGCTCGTATGATCGGGGGTAGAAGCGAAATCATTTGAGTCTTAATATTTATGATTCCTGTCGTTTTTTTGCCTCAAAGATTCATGATTCCTACAAGAATTTTCTGCTAGATTCATGATTCACAAAGACTTTTCATCACCTATATTGACTTAATGATTTTCTCAGTGGCAACTTAGTATCGTTTTGTAGTGTTTCTTTGGTGTTCAAACTACTGTTTCATCCAGACTCCGTATCATCATTCGTTTTGTCCAGGTATGGAGTTTTTTTTTGTAACTGCACTAAGCACCAGATTACGGTAGAAACAAGCAGACTATCAGCCCGAAATGCATGAGTTATACAGGGGGTCCGGGGGCATCCTCACCCCAAAATATTTTTGAAATTGGACCCTCGGAAACGCCATATCCAGCATTCACTACATCGAACGCAGTTACGGTAATTCATACGTGTATTTTGTTGAGCTTTTCTCAGAGTCCCGTTACTCATTATCCCAGAGCCGAAGTACAAAGATTCATAATTCCCAAGTTTTTTAAAACAAAAATTCATGATTCTTACATGTTTTGTTGCTATGAGTCATGATTCCGCTTCCACCCCCGATCGTATTATAAGGTTGACGAATATTTGCCTCTGAAAAGTGAAAAAATATATGTACCGACTACACTCAGTATTGTACAACTTTAGCAGTACATTTCGCTCGCCAAGCACAGTTAGGCGCACACGGTTGTCAAAAATTATTTTGATTAATCCAACATTCCGCCCTCACTTTATTTGTAAATTGAGCATTGACATAATTTATTTGCAGACGTTTTTAAGAAAGAAAATTTATTGCTTTAAATTCGCAACAATTATGAAGGGGATGTTCCAATGTGAAAACCAGATCATTGTCCCTCCAAACTGCCTTGATTACCAGCCACCTTAACCAGTCACCAAACATGTAAATCAGTCCATTCAAGGGAATCCAAGACAGCCTTGGATTCTGCCAGGATTTCGGATTCCAGGTACTGGATCCCAGTCTTTGATAGTAAGACTTGGATTCTTGATTCCAATCCTTAGTAGGATTCTGGATTCCTTAAGCTGTATTCCGGATTCCAAAGCCAAGGATTTTGGATTTTACAAGAAAAATTTTTTTGGATTCGAGATTCCACGAGAAAAAATTTCCCAGATTCCGGAATCCAGAGTCCCTTACATTGATCAATGTAAATGTAAGTAAAACGCCAAGATAATTTTGACACGATTTTTTTATTCATCCACAGTTATCGCCCTCATCACGTAATATCCGGCGGTTTCGTATGGCCCTTGCAGAGTCATTAGTGTTTGGCATAGTAGCAATGCTCGGAGTCTTGGCAGCGATATTTTTAGTGTCCGGCTGCGTGAACCGGCGACCTACGAAGCTATTTTCAAGCACCAGACAATATAAAGAGACATGAGATCACCGGGTTTCTGTAATTATTTAATCGCAAAATGTTTTTAGATTTTTTTGTGGATTGCTGCTTTTTTGTTCTGCCGAGTGAATGGAATGGTTGGTTTTCGCTAGTGACTTAGGCAACTGCTTCAAGCGTAAGTTTTTATTGAGAAGCTTGCATGTATGAAGTTAAAGCGAACGTCGACTCATTCGCACAACCCTTCTGGTCGTGTTTAATCTTACGTCCAGGCCACTTTTGATGCGAAATAAGGATTCCTATTATGCCTCTTGCGAATTCTGATAATGCTTGTGTTTGTGCTGGAACTTGTTCTGAAAATGTTCGGACATTCGGACGTATCAGGGTTCACATCAAGCTTACTGGAAAAACAATCTGAGATGAAAATACCTTTTAGATGGGAAACTCACAAGCAATTTATTCCCTCACATATCAACAGTGATCGACCTCAGCAAAGGCACAATCAAGAAGATCAGTCCACGATTGCATGGTACGGATGCGAAAAAAAGGAGGGAAAACCTTTTAATCAATACTTTATTGACCAGTTTGTGGGATTTTGCTACATGCTCATCAAGAAAAGCTTATCAATAGAAGTGTATGAGACAACTTTCACCTTACATCTACATACCATGCTATTAAGGATACCCCGCTAACCGGGACAGCAACTGAATCTCCAACAAAACTCAAAGACATTTGAGTTTAAAACCCCCGTTAACACGGACTCTATAATTTACGGAATTTCGAACCCATTTTTCTGTCCTAAAATCACACGTGTCGTACACCAGCTTCGAAAGTTTACATTTCACGAAAATCTAATTTTTCCCATTTTTGTGTCACAGCCCCTGTCTTTATGGCTAGATTTTCGCTTTTTATGTTGCGTTTCAATCAAAATGTAAACTGTATAAACAGTAAAAATATCTGTTGTGTTCTTGTATTAGCATTTCAGTCAATGTGTATATGTTGTGATTCAATTTTATCCTTGGTCTAAATTGTAGTTTCTTTTGTTTTGGGGTATGGTAATGTACGATAATGAGTTGGAAACAAAAGAAAATAAAATTTAAACCAAGGATAAAATTGAACCACAACATATACGAATTGATAAGCGTGTATGCAAAGGGTATGTTGGGTTAATCCCTCCAACGCAAACGTTTCTAAGAAAAAACCCGGTGATGTACTGGTGTTCGTAATAACTGGAGTTGAAAGTACCGAATGTCTTCCCCGTCCCTGTCTTTCCAGGCCTTCTCGGTCAACGCATTTCGGTGACGTATCAAAGACAAACAGACCACGAGACCCGAAAAGCAAGGGCTGTGCATGGGCCTTTGTCACAAAGGGGCCATTTTGTCCCAAGATATCAGAGTAGCTTTGTTTTACCTGTCTAGCCTCGCCCCCAAGTTTTTCACTGCGAGGTCGAGGGAGGTAAAACAAAGCTTTTTCAGTCTCTCGGGACAATATGGCCCCCGTGTGAATAAGGCGCATGTGCGGAGCGACCACGGTAGGCAATGTGAATGTGAATGTCGACTACTACCTCAGGAATGTCGCGCGTGCAAGCATGTTACGTGCGAGCGAACAACGCAGATGAGCGAAGAATAGGCTTGCCCCAGCGGCAATCCTCAGGGAACACAGTCTACTACACTTCATTGCAACGAATTTCCTTGTCAAAAAGCTAAGCCAGCTTCTGGGTTGCGCTAATCTCGATTCTACTAGTAGAAGTTGCAAGGAATAAGGGCTCTTTACACTACGTTAGTTTTTTCAACCTTGACATGGACCAGTTAGGGAAAATCCGTCAACACCGTTGGAAAGAGCACCTTCAAATTAAAAAACTTGCCAAATTTGAAAGTGATACGTTTTAAAGGAACGACGATATGGCGATACAGCTCCGCGGAAAGTTGCGAAAATTTGGGGGCAAGTTTGAACGTCTGTAAAATTTCGCGACTTTGAGGGGCAATATCGTTGTAAACTTGGCAATATCATTGATTTGAGGCGCTCTCTTCATTGGAGTCTACGGATTTTTCCTTTAGAACTTGCTCACGTCAAAAGTTGGAAAAGCCGCGTGAAAGAGTCTAGTATCGCCTAATTCACTTGAAGTTCAAGTGGATATTTCGAGGATATAGTTGCCGTTTGTACAAAGAAGCCCCAAAAGCATCCACAAACTCCAAGGTCATGTTGGTCGCCGCGACACGTACAGCAGCAAATCCTCCTTCCTTATCGGCGTCCGCCCAGAAAAACGACAAGCTGCCTTTTGGTACTGAGTTCTTGTGGGTTTTGCTGTCAACTATGTAGGCGGCGCTTCCAATGACGAAATATTCAACCGATGAGTTGGATTCCTTCAAGTGCTGTGGGACATCGATAAAGGGTGAAAGAATTAGTCAAGAGATAATCTAAGCATCAACAAAAGTGATCAAAATCTATTGTATTTTAGGTTTAGAAAACGCTTAAATAAGGATAATAAGATAACTACAGCTTACTAAATCATGACGAAATTGTCACAGCTTTAACAATCAAAGAAACAAACAAAAAAAGGTTTTGCAGGTTCTTCTGATGAATATTAATTATTTCTGCATAAGTCAAATAAAGAAAGGGGCTAGCATTTTTAAAACAACCAAGAAGTACTTTAACAGAATACTTAAAACAAGCAAGGTTACCTGAAGGTTGTGATCGTGTCCGCTAATATAAGCAGTCACATTATGCTTCTGTAACAGAGGTCTCAGTCTTTTGACCAGACAGTCCGTGGGGCCATGTTCAGCAACTGACCACACAGGGAAATGGCCCCCCACGATCAGATAATGGGCTGTAGATGACTGAAGAGTGTCTTCTATCCATTTCCATTGGGTCTCGGATGCCTCCTTTGATTCAGGCTCTACAAGGTAATTGGGTTTAACGTTTTAGTCAACTGTAAGTCCAATTCTTGGTTTGCAACCACGTAAAAATTAAGGCGGCCGTGTTGGGGTCAATACAATAGAATCTTTTCTAGAAGAATTTACATGAAAATGGAGCAACGGTGGCGCAGTGGTGAGAGCGCTCGCCTCCCACCAATGTGGCCCGGGTTCAAATCCCGGCTTCGACTCCATATGTGGGTTGAGTTGTTGGTTCTCTCCGTTGCTCCGAGAGGTTTTTCTCCGGGTACTCCGGTTTTCCCCTCTCCCCATATTCCAATTCGACCAGGAATCAGGTAGACGAAGAACCACTATGTGGATGTGCTAATCTGCAAATCGCTATTCATTTATTTTTATTTTGTTTAGCTCCCAGAGGGGAGAAATGCTTTAATTTGTTCTTGACCACTAACACAGCTGCCGTGACATCACCTTCAAACCAGCAATATGAGGTCATACTGCATGGGTAATTTGACAAGGTGGGGGCGGGGGTAGGATTGGGATGTACAGCAACCATCTTGACACCGTTAAGCTGTGTCAGTATACCAAACTTTGCTATTTCATCTAATATGATTCAGCAACTGTCCTTAAGGGGGTAGTCTCCTGGTTGTTATGGTTTTTTCTTTTTCGTTTTGCCTTTTTTTGGAAATGAGGTTGAATCGAGAGTGGACTAAATAAGGGTAGAAAGATGTAAACACAGGAAAAATTTTTATTTAATAAAGTTCAGCTTTAGCTATAGTAATATAACAGTTTACCTTGTGGCTGTGTGTTGAAATGATCGTCCCCGAGTCGCCGCAGAGTTGAATCGTGTCCAGAAGAACCAACTGAAGTTCAATGTCAGAACCTTGAAGAACGACCCAACCAGCCAACATATGTATAATATCAGATAATGAATCAACAGGAACACACAATATATATAAATTTTATTTAGCCAAAACAGAATAACAAACTGGAGACTATAGTCTACACCAAAAGAGGGTTCTTCATTATTTGAAGGATGGAAGGATGGTTAAGGAATCGGCATTTCAAAGTTTCTGAACGAAAGACTAAACCTTTTTTGAGGAAGCTTTTTAGGCAAGTGAGGGCTTATACTTGAAAAAAAAAAACAAATAAACGCAAAACCACCAAGAAAAACAAGTGAAGAGTGACGGATACTAGTGTGGACTTGCATCAGTAAAAATCGTGAATACTAAATCCACGTAGAGAGTTTTCTTTTCTTTTCTTTCTTTTTTTTTTTGCAAACAAAAATTTATACCGGGCAAATAAATTTAATATTGGATGCTATGATTTTTTGGTGAGTCTTCTTGCCGTCAGGATCATATTAGACTGTGCTATTTTACTAGACTAATCATAGCTTGCGTGCATAGTTACCATTGCACAGAGAAAATTGTGAAAGCAGGCGTGTATGCTTGATTCGTTCGATTCTTTCGCGTTCCCTCTTTTTCAGTTTGCAAATCCTAAATATCATAAACCAAACTAGACTGCTGTAAATGCAATCAATATTGAAAGTCGATATATCTCAACTAGGCTGGTTGCCTACAAATACGCCATATCACCCCCAACCTCGCCCAATGGATATCCAGGGGGGCGAGCCTTTTCCCCCTACCAATTGTCAAGGGAAATGCCCTATGAACAAGGTTAATGTCACCTGTCTTCTGTCAACCTTAATAATGGGTTATTGTACTTACCAGGAATCTTCCAGGATTTGGAAAATTCCAGCGTTTTGACTTGGAGCTGTAAGCGATCTGGGCTGACACGTTTCCATAGTGATCATGATTTCCCGCGCAGAAGTACCAAGGGGTCATGAGCGATTTGTCAGTAAACACATCCTCAAATGTTTCTTTGAATCTCTTGTCATCTACGTTTTTAACTCCAAAAAGATAAAAGTTGTCACCTAGGGATTAACAGTAATATGACAGAATTTGGGTGAATCCATGAGCCTATCGGCAACTTTATCGCGATTTTTTAGGTCGCTAAAATTGTCCCTTACCGCAAAGGGTACCCATTGCGGCCGCGCGGAAGGTATGCGATCGAAACATACCCCAACCCGAAAAAATGTCACCTTGATGAGAACAGGTAGCTAATAATGTCTCGCTACGTGAAACTTTTTTAAACAGACATCAGCAAATGCTGATGCTGGTTTCAGTGGTTTCCGTATAATTGCTACACTGAAGACGGATTTTTTGAAGGGGGGATGGGTGGAGAGCCGGCTGACAAGTGACTTGTAGTGAAAAGTAGAAAGTGGGGAGAGGGCTTAATTCCCCACCCCAGTCACCTTGGCTCCCCTACTGTCCCTTTATGATTGTAGCCTGCGTGATCGGCGAGCGGAAAAGAAGAAAGGGCAAGAGGATCGATCTTCGGCCGCGAGAGGACGCGAACGGTCTGCGAGGGAAGAGGAAAGGCCCTTCCCATTTGTTCCATTGCGAGCCAGAATTCCCCATCCCGAAATTCCTCCCTTCTGTACCCCTTCAGAGTGCCTGCCAAAAAGACTATAAGGAGTTGTTACAAACGTTCAGCTCACTAGACGTCTTTCAGCGATCCCAGCTATCATGTAGAAATTGGGCTTAAGCATTTAAAAAATGGTTAAGGGGGCTAGATTTCTTTTAGCCTGTTCCAGGCGTTCAGATAGTGGGGAGCGGTGCGAAGAAAAAAGGAGCGCGAAAAAATAAAAGCGAGGGAGGGGGCACCGCTCTCCACTATCTGAACGCTTGGAACGGGCTAGATTTCTTTAGGCCTTGGTGAAGCGCAAGAAACGGGGATGAAGTAGACTGAAATTTGCCCGACTTACATTCGTGTGTCGAAATAGGAGATCGTTATAAAGCCAATGAAATAGCGGAAACACGGGGGGTCGTTTCCGGACCTTGACTTGAGAGATCACGCGACTGTATTATAAAAGATCGCGAAAGGTCAAACACAGATTTTGATGGCAGAAAATTTTCACCGGAGCCTTATAATTGCAAGAGAAGCACTGATTCGTTGCTACCTTATTATACAAGTCACATTAAATACACAGGCCACATGGCTCTGAAAAAAATTGGATTGGAATATCGTGATGCTTGGCCTATAATGACCGTTTCAGAGAGGTTATAAACTATGTATTAAACACGTCACGGTGTACTTTACGTTTTAGCTTTCTATTGCTTAATTGCGGTAATCAGCTGAAGTGCCGTGAAGTAAAACTCCTTTGAGGGAATGATCCAATCGGAAAAATTTTTTTGGCGAATCATGCATAAGTCTATTCACAACTAAGGGTGAACAGTAGATAATCATTGAATTCATTTTTACTCTGAACCTATCAACTTACCCAGGGCAACAGTGAACTGCGCTTCCAGCTTTTCGGCGATTTTGCTCATGCCTTCGCTCACGGCCCTCTCGACGAGAGTGGTGTATGGCCATAATTCAAATCCTCCCCAGTCACCTAAGGCAAGGAAGCTGAGTTCACCGCCAGCAACAAACGGCACACTTGCTGAAAACGATAGCAATAGAAGCCATACCGGTGTGATAGGTTTGGCGGCCATGACGAACTCCGTTGATTTTTATTCTTATCACGTGAGGGTCAAAAGATCTGCCCCTGTGAATATTTCCTGTCAGCATGCAGATAACCTGCGTAGGAGGCGTCGGCTAGCCCCGGCGGGGTACTTCAGGAATTTCGGGATGGGGACGTGCCGCTGGAACCCTGGAACCCTTAACCTATACCAGAGCTAGTTCAGCTGAATTTTGCTACCCTATACTAGAGTAAACTCCCCAAATCCCCACTTTCCTAGAGTAGCTAGTAGCTGTTTTCCTAGTCCCTAGTCTAGATAAAATCTTCAACCAACTGATCAGTTTCCTGAAAAATGATACCCTATTCTAGACCCAAACTCTCTGATTTATATGCCCTATCCCAGAGTAAACTGCTTGAAAACCATGCCCTTCACAGTAGTCTGCTACACAGCCGTTTTTAGTGTCGTCACGCAACGCTTCTGCCCACTAGTGGCGAGGAGCGTTGCGTGACGAAACTAAAAACGGCTGTGTAGCAGACTACCCTCACAGCGGCATATACCTATAAACCTATATATGGCAGTACCCCCCCCGTCTCCCCCTTGGGCGGCTAGCACGCAGAGGCCTCGTCCAATTTTCCGCGGGTCTCTTTTCGTCCCGCCCACCGAACTCCAGGGGAAAAGACTGAGGCCTCTGAGAGCAGGAAATTGTGTGAATACATGTACATACCATATTCAGAATTATAAAGTATTCAGCAGATTTGTCCGTTACGTTCAGGAATATTTAGAAAGTGTTCTCCTTGCCGTTTACGTACAAAAAAAGTGTACTTAACTAACTGAATAATATACAAATACAAAGTGTGCTTAGGGGGGGAGGGTTCCCCTATGAAAGTGACGGGGGTGCTCGTCGTACCTTTTAGGGGTTTAAATTTGTGGATTGGTACCGCTTAGGGTGCTAAAACCTAAAACTGGGGACTGCTGCCAGAGTTGTCTCGGTACCTTTATATAATTTGTTGTTGTTTGATTTGTACCTCTTAAGGGTGGAAATGAATTTGGGTCACGCCCATAAAACAAGATTCTGGTACTTTTATAGAAGAGTACTCCCCCCCCCCCCCCCCCCCCCCCCCCTCCCCCCACAAAAAAAAAAAAGCAGACAAAAGAAAAACAACAACAAAAAAAAAAAAAAAAACAAAAAAAAAAAAAAAAAAAAAAAAAAAAAAAAAAAAAAAAAAAAAAAAAAAAAAAAAAAAAAAAAAAAAAAAAAAAAAAAAAAAAAAAAAAAAAAAAAAAAAGAGGAAGAAGAAAAAAAGAAAAAAAAAAACAAAAAAAAAAAAAAAAAAAAAAAAAAAAAAAAAAAAAATAAAGCAGA